TAGCCAGTTGAGGCCAGGTTAATAACCACATGGAGGTCAGATATGTCTGTCTCAGAAACAAAGCATGAATCCATGACTGAGGATTCCAGGGTTTCGGCAAGAAACATCTATTGTCTGGTTTGGCAAAAGTTTCACACATTGACAGCTTCAATGTAAAATTTATAACAGGGTTTTAAGAGACTACGAATGGTTGTTCTTTGGTTTGGATCCTGGGTAATGATAGCAGATTGAGAGGTTGAGGAGGTTGTAGGAGGCTTTTTACTGGTATCAGAAAGTGAAGAGAAGGAAAGAAGCAAAAGTTAGGGGTGTAGGTTATGTTTGACCACGTTTTGTATACTGTTGGAACCATGCAGGTGGTTGTTGCTATCGGGCTTCCGTGGGAGTTGTTTTTACAAGGTACCTGGAAAAGAAAAGACTTTATTTTCATATGACCGCAGAGCCCATGGAACAGCAGTTTCAGATCCATCATAAGCGGGCTTTTTAGAAGTTTAAGATATAAATTTGATTGTTTTGAACTCAGTGAGGAAACCCATACCGTTGCCACTGGAAAGCCTCAGGACAGGAAAGTGTTATTTTAAGGACTATCTGTAACCACCCTTCCCACTCATACGTACGGCAGCATCAGTGTAGACTACTGGTAATCCACAGGGAAACACGTTACTGCTCTTAAACTCCGTGCAGTCAGCCGTACAACCTGACTCTTAGGCGCTCACTATTGTGTAAGCTATTTACATCATGACGATAGCTACTCTATGCACTATCACTGTCCGGTTATTATTTTTCGTATGGTAGGACCTCAGTGAACAAATATTCCAGCAAGCAGATCTTGTTGGGCTATTTCGATATGCAAGCCTAATTACAACGTCGGGATGATAGCTGTATATTTTAAATATAAACTTTAGGTTAGAAGTAGTATTCATCCTGGACTGACATCAGTTGGGGAACCATTGAAAATCTGGTAGCACTGGACAGCTGTTTCGTCCTAGTATGGGACTCCTCAGCAGTACGCACCAACGACCCGGCTAGGGATCGAACTCAGGACCTTCAGGTTTCACGGCGAACGCGTTACTCATTCAGCCACTAGGGTCAACCAGTCGGAAGTGAAGTGGATGCTAACTGAAGACCTTGGGTGATAGTCATGAATTGGCAGAAATTGGAAGTTGTGAACCACTGAAACCGACCCAGTGGCTGAATGGTTAACGCGTTCGCCGTGAAACCAGAAGGTCCTGAGTTCGATCCCTAGCCGGGTCATGGGTGCGTACTGCTGAGGAGTCCCATACTAGGACGAAACAGCTTTCCAGTGCTCCCTGGTTTTCAATGGTTCCCCAACTGATGTCAGTCCATGATGAATACTATTTCTAAATTAAAAATCCCCATTCATCTCAAAAATGCATAAACTTTAGGTGTTTATAGTGTTATGTACTCACAATCTTCTAGATCACTATAAGCTCTCATTTAGTAGGATGAGGATTACCAAAGTTGCTTAATTATTTGATGAAAACTGTTATTTCAGGGATAGATAAAATTATTTTGTCAAAAATATTAGTCATCAAAGTATTTCGCTTAAATGTCTCTCGAAAAATAGGATACTGTAACTAAATGTTGTCAGTGTCTAAAATTGAAAGTCATACATGAACTTGTTAAGATGGACAAATCGACAAGTCTGAAAATAGAGTTCAGTTTGTATCATTCTGAAGTCCATATCGCCTAGTAATTTCCTTCAGATAGTTGAAGGTTTTCTTGTCTAGAGGAAATCAGCTTACTTGCTTCTGTTACTTCGAGTGACTACGATTTACGCGTTGAATTTCCCTTCATATCTCTTTCCCTAGTTCACTCTGTTTACTCGAATTCTATGTTTTCATTTTTCAATGATTTACCTTCTGTTGTTTTTGAAATATACTTTTATCTACATTTTTGTGTATTCCATTATTCCTAATTATTTTCAAATAGCTGACACAAGACTATCATAATCTACTGCTTTTAATACTGTACGCTTATTTTACTTAAGTGTCATCCTGACTATACATACTAGCTCTGCATTATAATAAAGTGTCATTAATGTGATATTCATCAGTTTGCCTATTTGCTAAATTTGCTCATTTCTGCAGACTAATCTTGAAATTTGACAAATTTAACTGGATTATTTGTTTCATGTGGAAGTCGATGGATTTCAATGTTTTGTGTACTAAATTATCTTTGTGATATCATGCAGTAATACAATTTTTCAAGAATCCGAAATGCTCTGGAGATATTCAAAACCAATCAGATTTACCTGAACCTTTTTAGAAAATTTCATGGCTATACATGTAATTGTCTGACTAGATAAGTTGACAAAATTCAGTTATAGCAACCTGTTGGAATAGTCTGGTATGCAAAATCTGTGATGTTCGTCAAGAATTTATACTCTCCATTTTTATTTATTCTTGTTATAAGCATGCTCCTATAGGTCGTTTTCTGAATTTACATGGATCGGCCTTGTTACAGGTGACTCATTTATAAACTTAGAGTACGCAATTGACGTATTCCTGTTAGTTGAATATACTGACAATATGTTGAGTCTTCTAGACCATTCAAGAATGTTTGGGATGCCTTTCTCCTCACGCAAATGCAAACTGTTGCTACAAGAGTCTTCTTCACTGGTGTTTTGTTCAGCAACAGGGAGTGAGTGAACTGGCTCTCCGCACTGACCACTTCACTCACCGAGAAAGCCGGATCAACCCTGTTGGTTCAGTAACCGACAAACTCTCTGCGCGAATACCGTAAGCACGCTCGGCTTACGCCAGCTATGTCACTGCCTTAATACCATTTTCCCGTATTTAGGGCTGACTGTGTTGAGCAGCAGTTTGCTTTGCACTACTTTATGACCTTAAAATGCACAAATGAAAGGTGGGGGACATGAGAAGACTTCATATGTTCGATCACCGTTGCCTTCTTAGTGTTAGCCGTGTATCATAGAAACATCTTACTGGTAGCATGAGAGTTAATATTGAGTTTTGCATAAAAGAGGCAATTTAGTTAACGACCTTCTAAACCTTCATTGACTCAGGTAGTTGTTGCGTTCTACTTTGACACACTGATGGAAAGTGTCGCAACTTGGAATGTTATGCAGTAATGCCAGATTCCATGTTGACACTGGCTGCTTGAAATGATAGTTGTTACTTAGGCTAGTTTAAGTAACCTACTTAAACGAACGTCTAGGTTGAATTACTTGAAATGTTTTGAATTTGTGTATCATGCGAGTGCCATGAATTAGAAATGATAAAGTTGAAACTTATGTCGACTTCACTTGTCAATTACTTAGTGATAAGATGAGGTGGTCGGCTACACTCTACTTTAAGTTATTATGTAGTTTTCAAAATAATTTATCGCATCGCATTGAAATTTTTGACTAGGGTTCATATTTGTCTTTTGGACATTTCTGAATTATAGTAAACAACTCTAACTTCTGTATTTAGAATAGGTTTCCGCCTTGGCCAAGGTGGAGTTAACAATTGATCTTTACTCATTATTCTTCAACTGTATCATAGACCCTTTCTATTTGTTTCCACTTTGATGATCCACTTACTTCATGCTTTAGTATTACGCGATTTGAATTTTTTAAAGTTTTACTCAGCACTGATTGTTGATATATCTGCATTATCAGGCTGTTTTGCACTACTCTTATGATCAGTACTTATAACATTATTAAAGTAGTTAGAAATCTCAGTTTCTACTCTGTTACTATTGGCTGAAGAAATATACTATAACTGGTCATTATATATATATATATATATATATATATATATATATATATATATATATATATATATATATATATATATATATATAGGTGATACTATAATCCGTAATGAATACCTACCTGGAATCAATGAATTAATCGACAGAAACCTACAAATTGAATTTATCTAGGGCTTATTGATGATTCGCTTCGAGAGCGGATTCCCTAGGTTCTAATTGGTGAGTCCATCCAAGTCACACAGAATAGTTACTCAACGACGGCCTTGAATAGAGGTTTGACCATATCTTGAACTGACAGGAAAAGAGATGTGAAGTATTACGTTCCGACCCACTGACTTAGTGGTAACTTGCTGACTGCAGAACCTGAAGATCCCGGGTCTAACCCCTGACCAGCGAGGGTCATGAGCGCACACTGCTGGAAATTCCCACACTAGGACAAATCAGCTATCTAGTGCTTCCAGATCTCCAATGTTTCTCCAACTTATCTCAGTTCATTATGAATACCAATCTAAAATCAATAAATAAATCCCCACAGACCTCCAAATTGAAAACCTGAAAATGAAGTAATCGAGAGTAATATTGGTCACATATATTTCTCTTATTTTAAAAAATAAAGTGAATGTTTTCTCTGCATTAAATTTTATTTTCACCTGCGTTACACGTAATACAAGTAACTCTAATCAACATAAGACAGGTGGAGTCGGTGTGTCGTTAGCATAACTGAATTCAACTTGTTCGCTAACACTTCAATACGATCAGGTTTAATTTTTCGTTGTTGTAGTGGATCAATCTTATACGATCCTTTTCTTTGGTGTTTTACCCTTTTATTTTATTACTTGTTCTCCATCTTACCTGTAAGTTAATACACCATACTTATCTATATTTCCTAACTAATAACATGAGGATTTGTGCTAACAAACTATTTAGATACAATTTCGTTTAAAACAAAAGTATTTCAATTCGATTATGCGAAAATTCAATATTTCATTCTTTTGATATTAACGCAGGTAAGTGGCTAGCAGTGGTATCCAGCACGCTCGTTTCGTCCTCTTTGGGACTTGTCGTCTGAATCTACCTACCGGTATCATCAAAGACTATTTCACTTTTCCATGTGTCTTTTTTTCTCTAAATTATGATCACACTTTATTTTCTAACAAATGATAACTGTTCATTACTACTACTATTATTATTACTATTCTCTGGTACTTATCAAGTTTCCATTTATTTATTCCCCCCCCCCTTTCATCTTTTCAATAATTCAGAGTTCCTGGTTTCGACAAATTACTACGTTTTCTTGTAAGCATGAAAAATGGAACTATACAAGAAGCTCATATTGTTTTGGGACGCGCTCAGGTAGACAGTTTGCTAACTTTTGAACTGCACGTTTTGTCATATTTCCGCATGTGGAAAATGCTTATTTTCTAACCCTAAATTTCACTTGTTATACTTTAACTTTCGTTACGTATACTGATACTGATTACAAATATTGATCAAATTGTTCAGTAATTTGAAATGTTGCTGGTCTGAGGTTGTCATCTGTAACCTACTAATGTCTACCTCACCCCACAGTTTTAGCCAGAATAAGGTTAGGCTGAAAAAAGATCAGGGGCAACTGGACTATCAGGTGGCACTAGTGCATGTGTCCTTTGACTATTGGTCTGAGTCATGTATGGAAATGTAAACTTCCCAGTTTGTGTCCGCACAACAACAGAAACCAGTGGTTGAAGACTCTGGATGATATGGTTGAGAATCGATGTTAGTAGCGCAGATGTATCTATACACTATCCCCATATTAATCGTCATAGGGAAATTGGTATTTTCTTATTCCTCCTTCCTCTTTTTTATTACCTTCTTGTGCTTCGGACCGGGTTTTTCTTTATTTCATCATCTTTCGTCTTATTACTTTGTTGTTTGATGTGAAGTGGGACAGCTTAGACCACTGTGTAGTAGTTATTCCTGGTCCTACATTGTTGTTGTTGATAATACTACTGTCTATCAGGTTGCATCACTATATTCATCTTCGTAATAATGTATGGTAATTAGGAAAGCGAGTACAAATGATAAACAAAGGTAAGAGAATGGGGTTAAATAATGGTACGTAAATGTACCTTCCTTATCGCAATCGATTTTAGCCTATTTCACCTTTAAATATCAGTTCTAACTGTCCATTGAATAAAGGTTAGCTAACCTCTTTTTTTTAAAATATATGATTTCAATCGGCAGTTAACAAATTCGAGATTCAGTTGTTTATCTAACTTGCAATATCTTTTCTATGTTTATACCTTCGTAGGCAGCAAGCTGACTTGACTGATGTGCAGATAACCTTATTATCTTGGCTTTTATGAGTTTGTCTTCCTTTTTAATAAACTATATTTCAAGGTGAAATGAAATTTGAACCACGGCCGGATTTGAACCAGCGGCCACCGGGTTTCCGACCTGATGCTCTACCACCTGAGCTATGAGGTGCAACTTCTGGCCAGATTTTTATTTCACTTCAGTCACCATGTGAATGCATGACGCGTTACTATCGCTTGGTCTTACTCACACTGGCTGCCTAGTCAGGACTTCTCATCCCAACCCCAATATAACTGAATTAGAAAGAGCAAGCATCGTATTACCTATCATTTTGACTGTCTGAGATAGCCGTAGTTTGGGAGACTAGTATTGATGCTACTTTTATTTGATGAATTCCTACGTTTTGCGTCAACATTGCATGTGTACTGATTTCAAGACATTTAAACGGTATGCAGCTGTAGTTTATTGATCTATTTAGTCGCCTTTCAGTTACGCTCATTCGTACAATAGGCAATGAGCCATACATATTGTGTGGGGGCCAGTGATGCTACCTGGCTTCCCAAACCTCAAGTTGTGTAGGGTTCGAGTCCGCTGCCCAATGGTTGATGGTCATCTACTTAAATCATTGAGCCACAGCTCCAACACCTTTCAGCCACTGAGTCAGCAGTTCGAGCTCCATTTCACTTAGTAATGCTTGACCAGAGAGGCAGTATAGTTAACGCTGACATTACATGTATGGCTCAGCGCCTTAGGCTTGCGGAGGTTACACAGTTTATCCACTTAAATGATATTCAGTTAGCGATAATGATAAAATTATGCAGAGAACTAATGGAGGTAACCAGTACACTATATCCACAGGAATAAATGTCTGAAATGTGAGGCCGGTTGTCTGATATACGGCTGTGAGACATAGTCGTTAAAAGTAAAAAATGTGACACGGTTACAGGTATTTGACCATAGGTGTCTACCTAGCATTGCTCGCGTTTGATGGAATCACCATGTGAGCTATGTTGAGGTCAGCAGAAGGATATTAGGTAAAACAGGCAAGTTGGTGGGTGAGGTTGTAAGCCTTCACCGACTGAGGTGACTTGGACATGTTTTCCGTATGCCGTGCCATTACCACCTGCCTTGATGTGCAGAGGTAGCAAAAGTTGGATTAGATTGAAAAAGGCTTGGAGTGACGAGACCAAGATGTATCACCGGTCGATGGAGTCTCTGACTATTGGTCTGAGACATGTGGGGAAGTGTAGACTCCTTGCCTGGGGTAGCCGAGACAATAGAAATCAGTGGTTGAGAATTGGTCACAATGGCTCGGAAGTACTCACTCTTTGACGTCTTCTAATGCTTTAATGTTTTCACTAACCTTCATTTTAAATTCTTTCTCCGCCCATACACCTTTGATCCCTTTGATATTAGTCTTTTTACTGTCGACTTTTCCATTGGTTACTACTATGAATTGTGTGCCAACTTGAACCTATGTCCAAGCTGGTGACTCAGGCTAACAACTGATAACTGAAATTCCTAGTCGATATTTAGTTGATCACGTGTCTACAAATACTAAATAGCTTAGACTTACCATATGAAATTATACTCTAAAGGGTGGAGAATGGATGAGCTCAGGAGCAATATTTTTTTTCTGTTTCTCTGGACAAAATCAAATACCTTTGAGTGGGTTTTTCAACTTACTTCTACATTCGTAACATCTACGGCCTGGATGTTTATAATTCGACTTATATCGTTGATAAACTTCAAACTAGAGTAAAACATTTCTAAGCTGCTTCTTGACTTGGTTTCTACCATCTATTTATGGTGTTAGTTGATTGTTCAATCCGTTTTTACTTCTTGTGAATGCTTATCTATGAAAGTGCCGACAGACAGCCGCTATCTTGATATGGTGGTCGGGCTTATATATCACAATGACCCAATGAGCTATGCTGATGGGACGCTTGTTTCCTCAAGGTCCTACCATACCAGAAAGGTTTATTGGGTAGTGCTAAGACTAAAAGCAGTCACCGTTGTAATGTAAATTGCTACACTATGATGGGAGTCTGAGGGTGAAGTCGTACTGCTGCCACCTGGACGGAGTGTGACAAGACTAAGTTGTTTCCCCTAAATGACCAGCAGTGACGTGCTAATGCTGCCTTCCCTATGAGAAGGGAGGGTTAGAAAGGGTCTGCCCGAACATATCACACTCTGTCTGCCCCATAGTCTCCCGGTGCCAGCGGTATGGTTTTTCTCTATCTGGCGATAAAAGAATCAAATCTGAAAACAACAGTCATCGAAAGGCTGTATGTGGCAGGCTTGAAGCTGATGCCGCATGAATTTCGCAATCACATAAGTCTCTTTCTGTTCCAGATATTTTTCGGAGAAATAATTTTCCACGGTGTTGGCAGCCGGGAAATGTCAACTGCCCGCACGCTTCCAGTGGCACACAAGACTACGAAAGTGTCCTTTGAGATGGTTTCAAAACTTATTTACTGTGCATGCTAATTTCTTAGAAATCATACGTTGTAACTTTCTTAATAATTATATATTTTTTCAGCGATATATATATATATATATATATAGTTGTAAAAAGCCAACCGCTTTATTATCTTTCAGAAATTTGTTTCAAGTGGATTTGTGGAACACTTAGATTTTCTACCTTATTGGACTGCTAAAGGTGAATATTTTCGTAGGCTGCATCAATTAGATGCTGGACGTTCATATCGAAGTTTAGATAATCTACCTAAAGCAGTTGGTGCACCTTCGAAATCTTTAAGTCGATTGAAATTTCATATATCTGATGAAGAAATCTTTAGAAGTATGCATGCCATGGATAGAGCTGTAAGTTATGCAATATTTACATAACCGTATCCTTCTTATAGATTGTATTTAATAATGTCTTTTAATTTTGTTCCTGTTTCACTCAAGTTGAATCGGTATTAGTTACCAGGCATGTGTGTCAAACTGTTGGGTTTAATGTGTTAAACTCGTTATATGCTTTCGCTTAAAAAGTCATAAAGTTGTTTTTTATAACATTTTCTGTAGATATCTGACTACCATTGGAACTGTTACATCGTACAACAGTCCTACAGTACAACAACTTCATAGAGAAAGGAAGATAATTGCTTGATGGTTGTCCTAAAAAAGATCGGTTACTCGCGAAAATTCACCCGAAGATGCCCATCCGTCCATCATCAATTATCAAGTCACCAACGGAAATCAGCTAAAGGATCGTCTTATCGTGCATAAAGAACGTATTAGAGATCATGATAAGATTACGAAAACCACTTGGAATTGGTGTGGTTCATAAACCAACGAATTCCCTGCAATCCGTATTATGCAGACCGAAGGATGCAACAACCAAACAGGATAAACCAAATATCATTTAGAAAGTCAAGTGCAACAATTGGCATGAGCACTACATTGGACAATTTGGTCGCTTCCCTCTCCTTTATCTAAATAAACATCAGGAACTATTAAACGTCACGACATTTCGTCGCAAATATCAATGCATGCGGAGAACTATGGACATGAATTCAACTTTGAAAATGTAGAGGTCTTGAGCAGAGGGATCACAAAGAAAATCCTTAGAAGCTTGGCATTCTGGCAACCATCAATCTATAGATTCATAAACATAGATCCAATCTATCAAAATGAGAAATATGAGTAATAACCACAGGGTCAGGGGTCAGACAGATACAACCAACAAAAACCACCTCGTCAGGACAAGCTACTGAATCAATCACGGAAAAATCTGGTTTGCTCACTTCATACTTAGGTTAGTGCTGATGATGTCGTCTAGGAAGACAATGAAAACTTCACAATGGAATCAGCTCAAAGGACGCAACACAACCAAAATCCTTCAGTCGCTTACTCCTAACCCTACAATATTCTAGTTTCCTGACTTTCACTTATCATATTTGAACCTAATTTTCTATACCTTAGTTTCTAACTGATCAAGATGTTAGTAATAATTTAGTCATTTAATTCATACCGCATCATTATAACTTCTTGTCGATTAGTTATGAGTCATTAGTGTGCAAATCTTAGTCCGCCAAATTTTTCTAATGTAGCTATATAAACCTGCTAGTTAAGTTGTGTTACAGTGTTAAGCACCTTTAATGGATTAATAATCACGAAATATATATGTAGAATTACTTGTTCCTTTCTTGGAAGTTTTGAGTGGAAAGTGTGCGTAGTTATCTGAATACCAACCATTTCCTGAAAATTGGTCACAGTGGCGCAGATATATCGACTCTTTAACGTCTTCTAAAGCTTGAATGTTTTCAACAGCCTTCATTTTTAAATTTCTTCTTCTCCTATACGCCTTCGCCTACTTTGATACAGTCTTTTTCTTGTCCATTTGTTCTTGTATACTATTGTAATGTGTCTGTCAACTTGAACCGATGCACCTATGTGTTAGGTTCTATGCTGATTTTGTCTATCTGTCTGGTTTATATTGATCACTGTGTGAAGTTGAAATCACTCAGTATTTCCGGCGAAATTGAATCGAAACAACAAAGACACACACAAATCTGTACTTTCAATCGTAGTGCTATGCATACTGGTTAGAGAACACTACTTGTCACATTTTGCTTGTAGCTCTGAATGCACAAACTTCCTGTGAACTGTAGAAGTAGTTTCAAATTTAACGCAAAATTTCATGTGACGCACATATTTGTATCTGGCTAACGATTATCATTTTCTTCAAAAATGATTAATATCTATGCTGTATTTTACATTATTATACTTGAAAAAATATCTCACCTTAACCTTATTTACCAATCACTCTACGCCTTTATTTATGAATTGAACATTTTTTTCAGCCTTTACAAAAACTATCTGATACACAAGTCATTGAACAGGCTATTAAACCTGGAGATGATCCATTAAATTTAGCTTATCGTGTAGCTGCTCTGCATGAATTACTTAGTCGTCATGGTTTAGATCATGGGTTTTCTACGGATGAACATTTTCTTATTGTTCGAGATTGTCTTACTGAATTATCTCGAAAAGCTGGTATTCAACAAACGTGGTAATTTTGCTTTGCTTTGATTGTTTTTGTGTTTTTTTTAACACATTTCCTTCATAAAAACTGAATTTTTCTCATTTGACTAAATGTTATCAGTTATCTAAACATGTAAAAGAGTTGAACACATAGTTTGAACCAGAGTACTGAAACGAACTACAGCGCAGAATGTATTCATTATTACCACAGTGTAAACATGGAATCTGCTGTTACTACGTAACATTTCGAGTTGCTACACTTCACATTAGTACATCAAGAAGAATGGTAGGGAAGGAAGGGCAAAAAATAATCATGTGAAATAGAAACTCGCAAAAAAAGAAGAATGTAAGAAGGGATAAAACAATAATGAAATTCATTATGACAATTAAGATAAAGATAACATTTCGCGCATCTTTGCCAATAGATTGATTCTGGATGGTTTTTCTGGAAATCTTCAACCATTAATGTCGCTAATCAAGTGCGCGCTAACTGGCAACTCCACATTCCCCTACTCACTTAACACCAACAGCCGAAGATTTCATGAACTGATGCCACGTTTTCGTTTGGCTCCTTTCGATGTGTTTCCACTATTGACGTTTTTCGTGATAAGCAGGTGATGATGCAATGACCGTAGTACGTTCTAACAGTCTATGAGCGATACGAACCTAATGCGCAAACGAATCGACTTGAACACAAATCAGAACGTCAGCCACAGCCATAACAATAACACCGACGCGCGAAGACAGAAGGGAAGGTAGACCGCTGACAAAGGGCTTTTTACTGTTTAAACAACATTCAATACAATTGACAGCGATGCTGAATATATACATTTTAAATGACCTTGATAACACTAAAGCTACATATACGTAAAAATAGTTAACAACAAGAGAGTTCAACCTTGAGAGCAGAGGAGAGAAAAACTAGTAACGGTTTGAAAACAGCTATGTAGGTGATTTTAAGATCGTGAGCAAAATAGCATTCAAAAGCTATGCAAAATTAGAGGTGTATGACGGATGACTAGGTATGCGTAGCTTGCGTTGTGGTCATCTGAGTTAATGAAGTTCAGAAACCTATCAACTGAATTACCTTCTTTTTCTAGAACTGTACGACTAACTTCTACGTTACTAACATAGTGATTCCATGGTACATGGCTTATACTAAGAATGCAAAACTAGTTGGAAACGTAAGACCTTTTCTAAGTAATTACGTTAAGATCAACAGAAGTAATCTCAGTTTTTTATCAAACACAAACAAAAGTTATGATAGATATTCTCTCCTTAGTGAATTCAGTGGAGTTGTTTTGGAGTTTCTGTCTCTCTCCAGGAGTTTTCGCCGCATAGCTGTTTCAGTTGTAAGGAGTACGACTGAGACAAGCAAAAGACAGGTATGCAGGAAGGAATGTGTGTTGTAAACAAGTGGGACAGTAGTCGTTAAATATGGCACACCTTGCAATAAAACCATCATTTGCAAAAATACGCTGCATTTCCTCCTCTGCTTCTTTCTTGATTTGCTCTTTATACGCCTGCCTTTTCTCTTGCATTTTTCTTGGTGGAATCCTTACCCATTGTTGGTAATTCCCTATGATTTCTGCTACCCTCTCAACATATACTACTTATATCCATTCCTATCAGCAACACCCACTACGCTATCTGTACCAAAATAGTCTATTGCTGCTGTCTTAAAATATAGCAGTGACGTTTATTATTGACATCTGAAATAGAGAGTTGAGAGAAGTTTGACCATTGATTAGTGGTTTGTTGTTACAGGTTTCATCACCAGGTTCATTGACCTCATCGGCATTTTCTGTATAGACAGAAGTTTCTTGTTGCGTTTTTGATAAACTTTGCAATTGATTTTCAATAAGCGCTCTATCTTTATCCGAAATATCCTTTTTGTGGTCATCAAATAGTCAACATTAAAGTTTGGCACTCTTTTGATGGCTTATGTACATTGAACCTTTAATATTTAGTACACCGTATTGCAGATAATTTGGGATAACTTAAATTAAACTTTGTCTTTATTATTGCATTTTGATCAAGTAGGTAAATGTTGGAATAATCACCATTTGAGTACATTCAGTTAATTGTATTAAGTTCAGCTATAGAGTATGGTGTTTATTTCACTAGACATCATTAAAGTTATCCCTATTCAAATACAAACCATGGTTACATCAAAAGTTCGTGTTTTAAGCTAGAACTATCGTGTGTTATCAGGCTGAAGAGGCTCTAGCAGGTCGATTATGATTCGAACTCATGGTCAACTTGTAAAGTGTTGAATAGGTCAGAAACTTCTCTCCTTGTCTTTAACTTATTTATTATTTTTTCATATGTATACAGTGTGGTATGTGTTCGATATCACATTTACGTATGTTTTCAGGTGTGTGGTACGTTTGTGTGCTGCTTTACTATCTCAATTTGCCAACAGTTTAGCTCCATCATTATCAATTATCCTTGTCTGTGGTAAACAGATTACTATTGGAGTTGCACAAGGCTCAGAGGTTGTAGTTAATAAACCTTTGAATCCAGATGAATTATGTTCTTTGTTACGTGAAGAAGTTTATTCTCATGATCCAGTACAATTCTCATTACAACAAGAAATTATTCTATGGGTTAGTAGTTTACTGACTTCAAATAAAGATTTATTCGATGGAATCAAGTTTATTCGATTAGGGTAAGTGAAGTGATGCTTTTTAACACTAAAAAGAAGTTATTTTCTAGGCATTTGTCTATGTTAAATCTGTTTCTAACGTTTGCCAAGAAGGTTGAAGATACACCTTTATGACGAGTACCAAAAAGCAGGAAACCTAGGTCCACAGCTTTCCACCCCCCGATTGCCTCCATCCAACTAGCATTTTTCTAAGGTGCATCACGTTAGTGAGTCTGACAGCCTGGTAGCCGCATTGCAAAATGATCCATAGGTTTCGATCAACACTTAGGACCAGACCCCCTGAAGTTGGTTACCCTCAAGTGACCAACCAGTGTACTGGTAAAAACTTTTTCACAGAATTTGCTGGAAAAAACATTCAAATCAGGAGCACTGAAGACTTGATTAATTTGCGGTAACCTGTCATTATTTAATAGCATATAAATTAAAGAATTCCTGAGACTATGAACAATCGTTCCTGCTTTTATGAAACGGCTTTTCAAGTAGCATTCATCAACAACATCTTTCTGGATCACTTATGGATGAATTATTTCTCAAAATGACTTTTGAATGAAGGATAACGGTTGAAACAATGTCACAATATGAAACTGCAACTTTGTGAAAATCTTCTTTTTTCATTAATTTGACTTCTGTATACTCAGTTGGTAGGAAGCTGTGAATTTACGTTTCCGGTTTGTTGGTACCCACCAGTAGGTGTATCTATGACCTTGAAAAAGTTCAAGTTATCTTGATGATCGTAATTTGTTTGGGGAAGTTGTAAACTTCTTCATTAAACTGTTTTCATCCTATCTAAATTTGGAGTGTAAATTATCACAAGAAATTATTCACTGAGATAACTAAAAACAGTAACTCCATGATTGGAATATAGCCTAGTGTATTATTCACTAGACAACTGCTTGGTATACAAATGCGAAACGATTAGAATTTTACAGTTCTGTAGATTTCTGCATACCTGGTGGAAAATTTTATATCTGCCAAAGTGTAACTAGTTAAACATATTCCTTTTGGTTTAAATTGTATTTTTGAAATACTGTTGTTCTATTTAGTTGTTTGGTGAATTACAAATAGTTCACAGTTTAAACGTGTAACTTGAAAGCTGTTAACAAGTGTCTTTTATTGTTTAACTACCAGTACGTATTAGTGCTGTATTGTATAGTGTTTATTAGTGACATACTTCGAGAGGGATACTCGAAGTTCCAATGGGAAGCCTGCAACCTATAGGATGAACCAATCGGAAGTCAAGTGGATGCCAACTGAAGACCTTCGTGGATAGTTGTGCTAAATCGCGAATTGACAGTAGTAGAAAACTGTGAACCAATGTCTGAATAGATAACGCGTTTGCCACGAGACTTGGAGTTCCTGAGTTCAGCCCCTGGTGGAATCGTATGTACTGCTGAAGAGGTCCGTACTAGGAAGAAACGGCTATCCAGTGCTCTTAGGCTTTCAGTGATCCTCCAACTTTAAAAGGATATGGACTAGATAGAAAAAGGTAGATTCTGAATCACAAACAGCAACTATTTGACGTACAGCTAATTATGTCCAGTAGTGAATATTTTATCTTGATGGATTTAACTTCTTCAAGTGCCTTTAAACAGAAGCATAAATTTTCACTGTCCATCGTTGTCTTCTATGAACTAACTAATATCTCAATCCTTTTTCTTACCTTCTTTAGTTATTATTTTCGCTAAACAAGCCTTAGCGAAGTGTTCCTTGACCTCTTCAGTTATTTAAAGTAATACTATCTGTAAATTGACGTTTTATTAAGTGTTTATCTGCTGGATTGTTGATACGCTAACTTCATCCAATCCAGGACTTACTTCTAATGAAATGATGGCAAAATACTAACGTTTGGTGGAATCACCATGTAAGCAATGTTTAAGTCCGGTGAAGGGTACTAGGCAAAAAGGCGAGTCGATTAGTGAGGTTGTGAACCTTATTCAACTTAGGTGACTTAGACATGTTTTCCGCGTGCCGATCCATCGCCTACCTTGACATGGTATGTTAGAAGTTGGATCAGGTTGTAAGAGGAGTGTTCAGGGTAGCCAGACCAAAACGTGGCGCCAATCCATGAAGTCTCTGACTCTTGATCTGAGCTGTGTTAGGAGATTTAGACTAACTGGTTGAGATTGCCGAGATAATAAGAATCAGTGGTTGAGGAGTGTTAGTGACAATCAGTCACAATGGTGCAGATGTATTCACTCCCTTACGTCTTCTAAAGCTTGAATATTCACACCAACCGTTATCTTCAGATTGTTTATTTCTCTCACACAACTTTGTCTACTTTGGTATCACTTTTTCTATCCACCTGTTCTTTGTATACTACTATGAAGTGTGACAAGTTGAGCCGATCCACTTGTATGCGAGGTTGCACATTGATTCTGTCTGTCCGTTTGAATATAAGTGTGCTTATTTACAAAGCTGAACCTGTCATAGCTTAGTTTTAGCATTCTAATGGTTGAATGACACTTTTGACTTTACATTTTGTGTTTTGCTTCCTTCTTTTCTCCTCTAATCAGCTGGTTATTGGAAGCAATGAAACTGAAACTAGAATCTGAAACCTCTATGGATTTGAGTAGTGAAGATGGTGAATGTAATTTATCAAAATCTATATATGAATCGGTTTCCAAAGCGTTATGCACTTCTGATGCAACATTGAGTCCACGTAGTTTAGGTGCATGTCATCTGTATAGCTTACCACCTTGTCAAGTGAAAGATTTACTGCTGCGTACATTGAAAGCTGGTCAGGAGCAGAAAAGTGAAAATATATCTTCTACCACTGTTAATAATAATAGTAGTAGTTGTGGTAGTACTACTACTACTACTAACAGTAATACTACTACTATTACTACAACTACCGCTCCACATCCAACACGACAGTTGACAGTAATTACGGAGAATGGAGCCATAAGTAAGAATTTTTTTTAAAAATTTATGGATCATTGTTCTAACAATTATATTATTAAACATCATCGTGACATTTTAAAGACAGATATCTAGATGATGCTGAGAGTTGATGGTTTGAGAAATTTAAATCATTGGATAAACGATGTGCATTATTTTTCTATTTGTATTTCTCGATGAATGTGAAGCAATCCTGTTTTATAAGGGAAACATCTTTGTAAAATTCTCATAGGGTAGAGAAATAATTTCTTGACATTTTATTACCTTGTGAATAAAGAATAAAAACAAGTTATCGCTTGTTAGTCTCCATAAATCACTTATTGTTATTATTATCATCATTATCAGTCCCTTGAGTTCCCAGTGGAACATACAGCTTCAGTAACACGTCACCATTTCACTCTCTTCGCTGCACTCTTTCCAACCTGGCTCCACCAATGCCAACAAGCTTTCATTTCCCCCTCACACCATATCCTCCATCTCACCCTCCAACGCCTATGCGAGTTCCACTCGAACGCCTGATCTGGCGTGTGATGTCCCTAAATGGTCTTCTCAGTTTATCCCAGTCCAATCCGATCCAATCTATCTCCATTTTCTTCTTCTGCATATTTGTTGGGCGATAGATTATTGATTGGTTCGTCGCCAGTCAGAGCTCCTCGTTGTTTATTCTTTCTCACCATCTATTTGATCGATATTCAGTATCGAGTGAGTGTAGACGACAGCTCTTGATGTGATGTATGTCTTCAGTTTGTTGGAAATGCTTTTCGTAACGCTCCAAGTCTCTCAATCATCACATAGGAGCACTGACTGACTTGACTGAATTTGTGTTGAAAATCCGGATCTTGTTAACGCTTTATGATGAGTGCAGTGCAGTGCAGTGCAGTAGATCTCCACACTGATTTCAGGTTAATGAAGACCTGTTTTGCTGTCTTTCCAATCCTGGCCTTGACATACTCATCTGTGTCTGCGCCGCCTGTAGTTGAAACGATGCTGCCTAGGTAGGTGAAAGAGACTACTTCCTTCAGGTTTCTTCTGTTGATGATGACTGGTGCTTGTTGTTGTTGTCGTTGATTGGATATCTTCATCACATCTGCCTTCTCTATGTCCACTTGTAGTCCCGTCTTCGCTGCCTCGCCTCTTTTGTCAACTTGTTGGTTGTAGCCTGTAGGTCTTCGAGTTTGTGCGACAAGACATTAGACGTAAATCATCATTGTTGGCGAAATCCAAATCTTCTCCATTTATCACTCAATGAATAAATTTTTCTACACTTTTTTTTTTAATTCATTCATATCATTAGCTTATAGGGATTCGTCATTCCCAATGTATTCTGGTTTGAATCGTTTAGTTTAAGATAGTTTATTCATATGAAATGAATGATTTCGGTTCAAAATGATATTGGAATTAGATAAACTAAGTTAGTTGTTAATTTGTCCTTGATTTGCATTTCTTCAGTGAATTTTTTTTAATGGAAACCCTTGATTTTGTCTATTCCCTTTTTTTGTGCATTATAAACAAGTGAATTGTTTGACACTGTTATCGTGTACTCATTAGTAATCTATTCGTCATTTCTTGTAAACACTAATCGAATGAAAATCCATTCAACTAGTTTGTGCACATTCATGCGATAGTCAATTCGCCACACCTAGTGTGTGAAGGCTAATGATATGCCACCTGACTGCGCAAGCCTTGTTAGATGGAGCGGTGCTCAAACCATTGGGCTACAACTCCAACACTCATTAGTTTACGACCACTAGGGAGAAACAACTTTTTATTGGCTCATATGTGTAAGCCATTATAGCGCTTGGATATTTTATTTATCAGTTTTATTATGTAAATTTCCTTACCTATGATATATTATGCAAGTGTATTATCTATTTACAATTCAGAACATGTGTCTAGATGATTTACAATTTTAGGTGAAGATTTCACAATTTGATAAAACACAATTCTGAAATTTTATTCTAATCATTATTGAACATAGGGAATTTTCATACCAAAGGATATCTTCAGTAGTTGAGCTTAGATGTAGGTGTACTGATTTAAGACAGATAATGCTGAGTAACTTTCACTGACTTGATTGTGGTACTTTGATCTCTGCTTTAAGGTTAAAGTAAATTTTTCTCAAGTGCACCCCCTATAACGTTTTTGTCAAAGTAACTAAACTATCTGTACGACTCGTTGATATATGTTGTCTTTTTTTGCTTGATACTTCTCATTTCCCGTTGCTATATAGAGTCGAATTGCTCGACGTTTGTTGTCAGATGAGCTCCTATGCGAATGCCTTCATACTGGCGAATATTCCCCGTGTTGTTATTCATCTTGGTAACTAGCAGTGGAATCTAAGATACGCATCTGGTCCCATTTGGGACTGCTCAATTGGATATACTTGCATCCCAGTGAGTGGTGTTATTCCCATTGATACTCGAATTCAGTGCACATTCCTTTAAGAGTTAAAGCGTTATCCGCTAGTCCACTGGGCCACGAGAGCCACTTCTTGTGCAAAAAGTATCATTTGTTGTTGTTTGATACTTGTAATTTCCTGTTACTATGCAGGGTTGAATCGCTCGAGAGGTGGCTCTCGTGGCCTAATAGATGACAGCCTGGTATTAGAAGTGATGGGCACCGGGTTCGAGCCAGTGGAAACAACATCACTCATTGGAGTTTTGTTAAATCCAACTGATGAATTCTAAATACAATGAAACGTGCGTCATGGATTCCTCTGCTAGTCATCAAGATGAATATAATACATTGTCTCTATTTAAGCATACCTTCTAATGTTCTATCAAGTAGTACATGTTGTCTAATTTATTCATCCAAATATTATAAAAGTGATTTAGAGATCTCTTAGTTCAAGTGATGCGCATTTAAATAAATTGACTATCTTTAGTGTACATAAAGTACAAAAGTCCATCGAGTACTAAAAATGTCTCCATCACATTTCAACATTAAAAGAAAATCTATTTCGTCAAAAGTTATTCGTATTCTCCGTGATTTATAATTTTGCAAGTTACACAATTATTCACATTGTATATCTCAACATTAGTAATTATATATCTCTATTTTACTGACAAGATTCTATATTCTACTCCATTTTCTATTATACTTGATGTAGAAAATTCTGCAGAATATTTTCATCGAACTCGCCGTGCACGTTTAAGACGTCATAACCAACATGAGAAACATCCTCCTCTTTCTCATGAAGGATCTTGTGATTTTTAAGCGGAGAACATTTAGATATGTCTAATCCATTGTTTCAACGCCAACTGGATGGATGTCTAGGTCGTGTACCACCGACATTTTATCAAGGTGTCTATTTGATTCTTGAAAGATCTACTCATGGTGTTATTATCTGCGGCAAGCTATTACCACAGGTAAATGAATTAATGTCTAGTTAGTCATTAAACTTGTGCGATTGTTTCCATCTGTTATAGATACGATACTTTGTTGTGCCTCTGTAACACTACGTAATACCTTTCAGTTATTATAGACTATTGATTGATAGACAGTTTTTAACTCAACTTCAGTGTTGTTCAACGTCTTTTACTTCCGGGACACCCATACTCCTCTTTACATATCATTTAATATCACAATCAGAGGTTCCATCGCTAAGGTCTTCATGCCATCACTAAAAATGCTCTGAATTCAAAATTAAGACCGAAACAGACTGGCTAGCTTTGGGAAAAACAAACCATGTGCGGATCAAACTGCAACACTACGCATCATCATAGAAGAGAGCATAGAATGGCAGTCAACTCTTTACCTCTTCATCAACTTTGAAAAGGCTTTGCTTCGACAACGTCAACCGAAAAGTAATTTGGCAGGCAGCTGCTTCAACACTATGCTTTTAGTGCTATAAACCTTGGTCAACCTCATTCAACAGCTATATGATGATTATGATGCTACATGCGAAGTGATTCACAACGCAAAGCTCAGTGGTGCCTTTGAAGTGAAAACAGGAGTAAGACAAGGCTTCCGCCTACTACCACCAGTGATCTTCCTGATTGTGGTCGACTGGTTTATGCGACAAACTGTGAAGAGCTGTGAGAAGATGGGCATACACTGTTTGACCGATGAAGAGATCCTGGAAGATATGGATTTCGCCAACAATGATGATTTACGTCTAATGTCTTGTCGCACAAACTCGAAGACCTACAGGCTACAACCAACAAGTTGACAAAAGAGGCGAGGCAGCGAAGACGGGACTACAAGTGGACATAGAGAAGACAGATGTGATGAAGATATCCAATCAACGACAACAACAACAAGCACCAGTCATCATCAACAGAAGAAACCTGAAGGAAGTAGTCTCTTTCACCTACCTAGGCAGCATCGTTTCAACTACAGGCGGCACAGACACAGATGAGTATGTCAAGGCCAGGATTGGAAAGACAGCAAAACAGGTCTTCATTAACCTGAAATCAGTGTGGAGATCTACTGCACTGCACTGCAATGCACTGCACTCATCATAAAGCGTTAACAAGATCCGGATTTTCAACACTAATTCAGTCAAGTCAGTCAGTGCTCCTATGTGATGATTGAGAGACTTGGAGCGTTACGAAAAGCATTTCCAACAAACTGAAGACATACATCACATCAAGAGCTGTCGTCTACACTCACTCGATACTGAATATCGATCAAATAGATGGTGAGAAAGAATAAACAACGAGGAGCTCTGACTGGCGACGAACCAATCAATAATCTATCGCCCAACAAATATGCAGAAGAAGAAAATGGAGATAGATTGGATCGGATTGGACTGGGATAAACTGAGAAGACCATTTAGGGACATCACACGCCAGATCAGGCGTTCGAGTGGAACTCGCATAGGCGTTGGAGGGTGAGATGGAGGATATGGTGTGAGGGGGAAATGAAAGCTTGTTGGCATTGGTGGAGCCAGGTTGGAAAGAGTGCAGCGAAGAGAGTGAAATGGTGACGTGTTACTGAAGCTGTATGTTCCACTAGGAACTCGAGGGACTATTAATAATAATGATAATAACGATATTAATGATAATTTTACGGTCTTGTTTTGTTTTAAAATCACACTTAACATGACGTTTTTGGTGGTTGCAGATATTTCTTCCTAGATATCAGTGAGATATTGGATATTTTAATGGTTGTACACTTTTAGTCTCATAAAATAAATTCTATCCAACATATTTACATATTTGTCTTTTCATTTTTTCTATCAAAGAAACCAACTTTAACTGATATGACAGCTTATGATCTAAATTTCATTGATGAAGTTGAATGTCTTCTACGACCTATACGTGATCCTGCCTATCGTTCATTAGTTGTAGAAACTATCATGGTCATTGCAATTATACTAGAAAGAAATAATGAATTATCATTTAAAGAGACAGTAGATATTAAAATTATCATTGATGATGCAATAGCTGCATTTATGCATGATCACCCGTCAAATGTGTAAGTTATTATTTGTTTTTAATTCGTTTATTTTTTAACATGTATACATCCATTCCATCTTGAGCCCATATTGGTTGATTTACTGAGGATGTTGTTATTTTATTAATCAGTAGTTGGAGATTGTAAATGATTAGACTAATGTTAGTTGATTATAAAGATATAGATGTATTCATTTTTATTACTTTAGAATTTGACAATATTTTAGTGATTCTTTTTCACACATTTCTTCTCTCACTTGTATACAATTGCTTATTTCAATATTCATTTAGAAGTTTGTGGAGATTTATTGATTGATTGATTGATTTTTAGGTTGGTTCTCTGATGAACTGATATCAGTTGGTGAGACATTAGAAACGTGAGAGTACTGGCTAGCTGTAGGACTCGTCAGTAGTGCACACCTATGACCTTGCCCCTCCAGAGATCGAACTCAGGACTTTGAAGTTCCTTGGCCAGTATCATTCATTCACCTTTTCTCTTTGAACTTTTATGAAATGTGGAATATATTGAAATGATTCAAGGTTTTATGTTGATTTGTATACTTTGCATTGTTGACTTCAATTTGAATTTCATCAAAACCTTAAATAAAATTTAACTGTGGTTATCTTACAAGCATTAAATTTGAGATAATAAGTCATGTTTACTCCAACGTAGGGATTCTATTTAACTACCCCAACTGAAATTGAAATGGCTGAGACTCATCATAACCATGTTCTTCAAGTTGGTTAAATGTTTAAACTAAGGGCTTTTGTCTCCACTATCACAGAGTCTAACAATTATCTTGTTGATCAGATTTATAAATTCATTGTGAAACTACCCAACTATGTTGTCAACAAGGTGACTGTTAAGAATCATCCAGACACGATCTTAAGGTGTAATCTCTCTCGAGAAATACTACTGAGCAATCTGAGTAGTTAGGAACCACCCAGGTTGTGATCTGTGGATTTTCCCTGCAAGATCAGAGTGATCTAAACACCATGCGACCATTTTGCTCGTTTGAAGTCGAACTCATAAGCTGTGTGCATGATCGAATTCAGCTCATAAAGTTGATTTGTTCAGATTATCCGAATTTAGATAGCTGGTCAGTAGTATGTTTCATTGGTTCGTGACAGTTTTGTGTCAGAGATCACACCTTGTGATATTAGCTGGTGGGTGGGTTACAATGGGAACCATGCTGACACCATGATCAAATAGTTGAAAAACTATTCAGCTCTGAGAAATTTCAACGTGAACCGTTCAATTTGTAAGTCATCTGCAAATTGATCATCCTATTCAAAGTCTATTCAAGTCAGCTAATCAGATTTAGGCTGTACGAGCTGAATTCGTCTACGTATTCAGCTGATGGACTTGACCTCAAACGAGTAAAACAGCTGTTTGAATCACTCTCTTCTTGGCAGTGAAATCTACGGATCAGCCTGTGTGGTTTTTAATTACTCATGTTATTCAGTAATATGCTAGTAGTGTCCATTATTTTTCTTTTTGTGTATCCCTGTGATTGAATGGCAAAAATAAGGTGCTTTTTTACTGACTCTCCGTTGTTTAGTACTTACAGTTTTTTTTTCAAAATAACGATAAACGGTTACTTACTATATCTTTATCTCCATAGGATGACTCGGCATAGGTGACCCCAAGCTGTCGAAAAGGATGACGAGTAAATGTATTGTGTGAGATAGAGATTGGAGTTTGTGTATACGCCTTATCGCATTCGTATTACTGACTCCAGTTTTTAGGGTTAGCTTGAAACCAGACTGTGATCAGACTGTGCTTGTTTCCCCTTCATTTTCAATTTACACAACTTTGATTCCATATTATGTGATGAAGAGATATTGTCTACTATGGGACATTCTGTATAATTATAAAAACCTTTTTGAATAATTTCACTATCGTCAAAATTGACCTTGTGACCTGATATTATAGTGAGTAGAACTATGAATGAAGCATTTTTATCGTTTTTGAACTCGATTTAATTCCTACAAACTGGAGTAGGGGAGGCCTTTTAGTGTTTTTTTTCTTCTCGAACGTTAATTTTACATGAAGTCTGTCCGGCATGTGGTACATCACAATCTGAACATTTTTATTTCAAAGCATTAATTAAGTCTTTAATCCTTCAGAATATAATTATTCACATGGATAAACATGCTCTGTAGTGTTTGATTTATTGTAGAACACTCTTATAATGGGTTTGCTCAGTACTCCCTTAATCTCTTCGAAGACGTGTGACTAATGTTATGACCTATGGTTTAAGAGCACATTTTTTGGTCTAGTTAGACGTTATTTTTCCTCTTGCTACATGGGATAATTATTCGTTCTAGAGATTTTCCTTACCTGCCTCAATTTTTACACTTTTTGTAATGTCCATTACAGCACATTGTTTTGTAATATTAAATCATTTGAGATATCGTTCTGCAATCCAAGTAGCTGCTATTTATTGCTGAACATTTGAAGTCTATGGAGGTTAGTTGAAATATTCTTCAATGCTTCATTTATATCTACTTTCATTGTCAGGCGTAATGAAACGACATATTCTTATAATGTGTAGTCAGTCAGAAAGTATTATTCATTCAGGTGCTTTGAGATATACTCCAATATCCTTTATTCATCATCATCAACCCTATTTTTTGTTTTATCCTATATCTTTCTCATACTTCTTTACTACTAGCCTTCTTGCCTTGTTATCTGACATAATCGTCATCTTTTATGAAATATTATCCTTGGTCTTCAGAAAGTAAACCAATAAACCACTTGTTAAAATTGTCAGTGTCTCTACTTATGACAAATTAAATTATTGAGCTTTCCAGGTAAATCTCCAAAATGTCGGTGCAGAAGTGTTTATCCCTTCTGAGATATGCATATAGTGCCCGTATGATTCATTTTTCACAGTGCGATCTGATATATAATGTCAACCTTTAGATAATACATTGGAGAAAATCAAGAAATCAAACATATATAATATCATGTATTTTTGAGATGAATGGGGATTTTTAATTTAGAAGTAGTATTCATCATGGACTGACATCAGTTGGGGAACCATTGGAAATCTGGGAGCACTGGACAGCTGTTTCGTCCTAGTATGGGACTACTCAGCAGTAAGCACCCATGACCCGGCTAGGGATCGAACTCAGGACCTTCAGGTTTCACAGCGAACGCGTTAACCATTCAGCCACTGGGTCGGTTTCAGTGGTTCACAATTTCCAACTTCTGTCAATTCACGACATAGCGCGACTGTCACCCAAGGTCTTCAGTTAACATCCACTTCACTTCCGACTGGTTGACCCCACAGGTCACGGCTTCTCATTAGAACTTCCTAACATCCATCTGCTGAGGAGTCCCATACTAGGACGAAACAGCTGTCCAGTGCTCCCAGATTTTCAATGGTTCCCCAACTGATGTCAGTCCATGATGAATACTACTTCTATATATAATATCAATTTGAATACCTGAGATAGTCATGGTATCAGTACAAGTCTTCCAAACTATCTCTGCCCCCCCCTCCCCTCTCCCTCCTATTCAGTTAGATTAGGATTACGATGAGAAATCCTGACTGGTTAACCAGTGTGAGTACGATCAAGTGATATTAATGCATCAAAAATTCACATGGTCTTCGGGCAAAATGCTTGGTGATTGAAATGAAATCAAAGTCTAGTCAGTAGACGGGTCTCGTAGCTCAGTAGGTAGAGGACTAGGGCGGTAACCCGGTGGTTGTTAGTTGGAGTTGCCGCTGTGGCTCAGATTTTCGTTTCCCCATCCAGTGTATATATATAGTAGAGTAGAGTGGAATAAAGGTTTTAATTTTTTACATCAGTATGTATATGAATTTTGGATATTCTGAGGTTTGGTTATTGCCGAATCGTTTCGGTCTTCAAAATGTCGTTTTTTCATAATATATGAGTCAAGAGTGATTATCTGGCTACTGGACAGAAGTAAATATGAATTTATTAGTATTTTCTAATCTCATGTATGTTTTGGTGTCTATTTTTTTAAAATGCAGATCAACTGATCAATCAGTTCATCATGTGCAAAGGCGTATGTCATGGCCTGAACCAGATATGCTGTCTCCTGCTGAATTGCCAATCTATTCAGTATTTGTCTCGACTCCAGCAAACACTCCCATGGGGACTACTTGTTATATTGCTAAGGCTGTACTTGATCGCCTTTTACAAGGAAACATAGATCTGACTAAAGTCAACAAAGATGCTTGCTGTGCAATGTAACTGATTTCTTCCACTGTAGCAGTTGCTTTTTTTTTTCATAACCGAAAAAAAATACCAACATACTGCTTACAAATCTGATAAGAAGTAGTCATTTTAGATAATCCATCGCACCTTTGTTTTCAGAAAATCTCTCTTCATTTAGTATTTTAAATCTGATCATTTGATTATCGCTAGTGATCACTTCTAATTATTTATTTATTTCTTCCTTCATTCGCTTGCATACTTTGTAGTTTTACTCTTTTTTTGGAGATAAATTACATTATTGAGAAAAATTTCCATCAGAAATTGTTCTCATGTCGTAGTCTTAGCGAATCAGTTTCATACCATGAACTTTAAGTTGCTAAGTTTCTCGTAGAACTTGATCGATATGAAACACTTCACGTAATTATCCAACCATGAGGAGGCTAGAATTCATCGGCTATAACTTGTCGAAATGGGTACAGATTCTACTTGGTAGGGACTGTCGGTTACTTACCATTCATTGATTAGCTGCGCAACTAAAAATTAAAATTGTGAGATATGCGTCACAGTAGCTTAAGTATCAGGTAGACACTGTATGACAAGTATTTTGGGCTCATTGACAGAATCATTTAGCGGTATATGAAATTTTTTATTGAAAGTAAAATAATGTACCTTAAAGCAAGCAAATAATTTACTAGAGTGTTTATAATTTAAAAGCGTACTGAAATTTAGGTTTAACAACTTCTGAAGGCTATTTCCCTACAGAAGAACTCCGTATATTCAACATGCATCTTGTCGTCATAAATGTACGATAAGAACCAGGACTCAGTTACGAATGAGATGACCGAACAAGTGGTCTGTGAGTGCTTTCATCTCTACATTTTTCCCTCTTACTCCTCTAATATTATTCAACAAACATGTTAGATCGTGCAGAGTGAGTAAGGGGCCTGACCGTGTTCTTCTGTATGAGGAGCGTCGGCATAGCTGAGACTGATGCCACTCTGTCCTGTGGAGTTTTGAGAAGTTCAGTTTGTGGAGGGACTATGGTACTGGAATCCCGTGTTAGTCCATATGTGACAACCACCGACTGAAGATATCTTCGCAGTTGCCGCCTATCTCTTTGTCCAATGAATCGTCGCTTACTCTCACCCATCCGTATTTCACCTTCTATATGATCTTTCGTTTATTGCCAGGCTTGTACAACCCGTGTGAATGAAGCATGTAGATGCAGTCGGATGGTAGGCATTGTGGGGGTGGGTTGGTCTCAGCAGTTGACTGACGCTTTTCATCGGGAGATTGTCAAGATAGGTTTTGTATGTTAGTCACTTCCATTGTTTGAAGTCATGAAGGTACCACCATGTAGTACGGCCATACAGTTCTCGGTCTCCATGAATAACCATCGTGGTATCTCTATTTTTATTCTGGATTCAGTTATTCTCTCTTAGTGATTATGATTTGTCAGGTTCGGTCAGCATTTTGTAAGTACTGACAGTATCTGACTAAAGTGAGAGAAAAGTGGACATCCCCAAGCGTTTTTTTAATAGTTAAGAGAAATTCTTAGGGATGATAGCTTGCCCTTGCCCTGCTGGGTAGAGGAAAGTTATAGAGTTTCGCAGGATGCTGAATAATCTCTGGTGCCCGGCAGTAGTCGACCTGTTTGATTATCGAACTGTTCCCTAATTACGGCACTGTCAATATATATGTGCATTCAGTATGAGCGTGAAGTTGACTTTCCTGTTACTCGTATTCATCACAGGTGACATATCTGCCCCATCAGTAGGTTTGATATGTAGTCTCTTGTTTTATCTAGCTGTTATGTTGGTGTTTAGTGGTGTTCTGATTGTGATCTTTGGTAGATCCTGGATATAACACCGTTTTCTTTGACCACTTAGTTTCCTGTGATCGGGCGGGGAATATACAAGGTCTTGTTTCTAGCTGTTTTGAGGCACATCAGTATATGTGGAGTGACATCTAACTTTATCCTCTGCTGCTCCTGTTTTTGTGGGAAACTTTTGTTCCAGGCTGACTGTGTATGCGTGGTGCAAAGCAGATTCTTGAGGTCGTTTGTGTGAGGTTAAGGCGGCTTACTGCATTTAGGCAAATGTGCCAAAATATTTGCATGGTCACCTTTCTATGAACTTATATTACTTTTGGGTACTCTGCTGTCACAGTGGCAATGTACTTGGCATCGACATACGTTTAAAGCAAAAGCCTCATTCACTACTGATACCACTTTGATGCATATATTGTGGTCATCGGATGTCATGTATGTTCCGTCAGATTCTGCTTTAATTTAGTCATACTATCTTTGACCAGGGTTGCGCAAAACTCCAAAGTTTCGTCACAAGCGGTCGACATGTCTTCATAGTGCCACGTTACGCCCCATAAAGGTCTATTTTACCATAAATTCATATTCTTATAGCTTAAAAGACACGAAGAACCCAGGTTGACGATTTTGCGAACTAGTAAGCTTTCACATAATCATGTAATCCAGGTGAATATGTCTGTCACGGTATCCACATGTTATGCCTTGCTCGTATTATCCATTCATATTGCCTAGTTTTTTGTCTCATACTCCTGTACATGGCTGAAGGTCAAGACTTTCTGAGTAAGTGGCTTCCTACCATCTAGGCAAACAAATCTTGAGCGTGGTTCACCCATGTGGAAACCCATTTCGCCCTTATTCGAATGGCCTTACAACGGACCTAGGTAAATTCATTAGGTCTCAGCCTTCCCAAGAAAACTATGAAGGAGATTTTAGATGTGCTTGATGAGACTGCCCCGAACACTTATGACCATCTGAAGCAGGCCCTCATTACATAAGTAACTCCGACTGACCACCAGAAGGTACAGGAACGTCTTCGCAATGTCCAGCTAGGTGATCGCAAACCTACTTAACTGCTGCGCCAGATGCGACAGCTTATTTCTCATTTCAAGGTGGAAGATACCTTTCTCGATCACCTGCGTCTCCAACGCTTCCCGTAGTGGGTTCGTAGCATCCCTGCACCTTTCCATCGGACTCCACTGTTGGAATTAGCTGAGGCTGGGGACAGGACTGTAGACGCAATGGGACTGGAGCCCGGGTTGGCAGCAGCTATCGGTACGACCACTGGTTCCAGCCCTAATGCAGACGTATGCCAGTCAGGCATCTCTTCATGTTTCGACCTTTTTGCGCATATTACTGAACTCTATGAAGAGCTCTGCATCACCCCCCAAGGAGATGATGGAACGTTGGTTGCTATGACGTCATATTTCTCGCGACCTCTTACGGAAAGTGGCATTAAATCACAACCAAGGAACTCTTAGTCTGGAATTCGTTGGTATCATAGACTTATGGCTTTATACTGCTGGGGAACGCGATAGCCAGCATGCAATAGCAACTAACGTCACGGGTAAATAAGTGTAAGTACAAGTTGATCAATTAAGTGACAACACGCTGTTTCCAGTATTGTCACTAGCACCCCCTACATGAGCCTGATGTATTGCAACCCTGGCATTCCACGATCCGAAGCTTCCACTATCCAATCATTTCTGAGTATTTTCAAGCTAACATCTGGAGTACCTGGCGTAGCGTCTAGCGTTTCGCACCGCACAAAGGCAACCCTTCCACCAGTCTTCGCCAAACCACGACGTTCATTTCAAGGCAAACTACGAGCCACTTAGGTTGAGTTCGAATATATATTTGTGATGCGTATGATTAGACTCCTCAACAGCACGTGGTCACGAAGAAAAACGATGTGAACAGGTTTTTTGGTGACCAATGGTGACAGCGCCGAAACCGTGCCAGATCGTCGCCCAGTGCCTCAAATTCACGACTCAACTAGAATTCTGAAGGGTGCAATGGTCTTCAAAAACTTCACCTGACATACGCTTACCATCAACTGCC